ATTTATTTGTAATTAGAAATAAATATTTCACAATATATAATTACATATTATTTTTGTTGCTACTCTATAACTGTAATTTTGCTACTGTTATGAATCATAATGAAAATATCTGTTATGCAGGATGTATTTTATTGTTATAAATTGAACATAATTAAAGCATAGTGATTAATCACAAAAACAATATGTAATTATATATTGTGAAATATTTATTTCTAATTACAAATAAATGAATTTTTTTCTGGGAAGTTTAAGAGCAGGCTCCTGGCCCTAAGTGGAAAGAGTGCCTTTCTTTTAAAAAGAAAAAAAGGGAAAAAAACAACCACCAATTATTCCTTTCTTTCTCTCTCTTCCTTCTCTCGGTCTCTCTGTGTGTCTGTCTGTCTGTCTGTCTGTCTGTGGCTCTTTGTCTCTCCCCTCCCTTCCTCCCTCTCTGCCTCTTTCTGTAATTCTCTCTCTGTTTCTCTCTGTCAACTTCCTCCCTCCCCATCTCTGTCTCTCTGTGCCTCTGTCTGTCTATCTGTCTCTCACTCACACGCACACAGACATACACACATACATACTGTGGTCACCTTACCTCCTGTTCTTCGGCTACTGCACAAGCCCTCATGGTGTGCGCTGCACTCTTCTGACAGTTGTCTCATTTCCAATGGAGGGGGTGGGGAATACATGCGTTTTCCTCCCTCTGCATGGATTTCCCACCCCCTATTGGTCCCGTTGTTGCTGAAGTTGCTTTTGCTGACTCCAGCATGGCAGTGGGACTCTTCTCATCGGTTTAGTGGCCCTCCTTCTTTGCTCAGGTGGACGGAGGAAGAAAGGAGGCTTGTGATAAAGCACCCCTGCCACCAAGGGCGAAGGGAAGCACCTCTCCCCCGCCCGACGCGATCTCCTTTAATTCTCCGTCTGCCTTGTTTGGGCAGTGGGGAGGGGCTTTCTCGCACACCACTTAACCGTCCGTTCACCCGCATTCAAACTAGCCGGCCCCCTCCTGTCTTTCAGCATAGGGTCTCTGGAGGGGGAGGGAGGTTCTTTCCAAAGACTGGCTTCTTTCCTTCCCTCCTGTGGCTGGAAAACAGATATTTTTACAGTGGCACAGAAACAGTCCCAGCAGTCAGTTTTGGGTCTCCCTTCCCCAAGCATGTCCCATTGCTGCTTGAGCCACTTTGCTGAATCTGGTGAAGCAGTGGGACTCTTGCCATCGCTGAGAGCTTCGCTGGCAGCCGCTTCTTGCCACTGCCTTCTGAGAGCTTTGGAAAGCCTCAGAGAGCAGCTTCTGCAGAAGCCTAGGTGACTGAGAAGAATTTCCTGCCATTATGAAGTCTCCAAGGCTGTAATTGTATGGGGTGTGCACACACAGCTATGTTTTCCACGGCGTGGAGCCGCAGCAACGCTCTGCGTAGCCAGCGATGACTCCGGAGCCCATCTGTGGGGGATTTTGAGGAACGTGAGGGGGAGTCTAAAGTTTAGCGTTCCGATGGTCTTAGCGACCCTTGTGAAAAGGTCATTCAACCCCCCAAAGGGGTCGCGACCCACAGGTTGAGAACCACTGGTTTAGAATTAAGCTAAATGTATATTTACTATTATTTTTACCGAAAATTAATTTTGGAATGTTCTATTTCCACCTTGTCAAATTAAAAATGTAGTGACACATGTGTTTAGGATGCTAAGATTGGAGGCTAGCAAGCCCACAGTTCAAGACCTGAATGTTGCTGTGTGTCTGGTGAGCTCCTGTCATTCGCAACAGCTCCTTGACAGGGTCATGAAAGCAGGTCCCAGGAGCAGAGGTGGTTCCTCCCAGTCTAGTCCAGTACGCCAGGAGAAATAGTGAAAACCTGGTTTACCAGATAGGACCAGTAGCAATGGTGGCCTGGCCACATGCCCATACCAGCGAAAGAAAGAAACAGCTAAGGAAGGAAGTAGAGTGGAGGCCTTGGCTGTTGGAAGAAGCACTTGTGCTTCATTCTCTTTGAGAGCCACCTTGCTTGCTGTGGGGAGAAATCAGGGAGAGAGAGGGAGGAGAAAGCTGAGCTTCTGCTAGACAGCCTTCTCCTCCCTCTCTCTCCCTGATTTATCCCTGGCCGCACTTGCAGAGGAAGGAGGCAGGGATGTTGGCCGGCGCTCGCTTCCCTTACTGCTTGCCACCGCCACCTCTGCGACCCACCAGCTGCATCCCTGCCTACCCTGCTTAACTGGGTGGCTATCTGGGAAAGTGGCAAGGGGATGAGCACCGGCCAGCATCCCTGCCTCCTTCCTGCAAGAGCCACAGTGAGGCGGCCTCAGGTGCCATCCGGGGACAGAGGCATCACTTCTTGATCCAAAACAAAGTGGTGGCAAGGAAAGAGTCTCTGGTGGCTGCAGCAGCAGCAGAAGCAGCAGCAGTGGCTGAAACACAATCCTGGGCAGTCATTTCTGGCTGTCCCTTCCCTGAGCATGTCCCATTGCTGCTGGCACCACTTTTGGTGAATCCGGCTTGGCAGTGATGGCAAGAAGTGGCTGCCAGCAATGCTCTAAGCAGTGGTAAGAATCCTGCCACCAAGCCAGAGTCACCAAAAGCGGCAAGACTTTTGGTGACTTTCCACCAGAGACTCCTTCCTCGTCTCTGCTTTGTTTTAGGCCAAGAAGCAACACCTCTGAGGAGCTGTCCCCGGATGGCACCTGAGGCTGCCTCGCCGCAGCTCTTGCAGGAAGAAGGCAGGGATGCTGGCCGGTGCTCACCCCCTCGCCGTTTTCCCAGACAGCCACCCAGTTAAGCAAGGCAGATGGGGCTGCAGCTGGTGGGCCACAGGGGCGGCGGTGGTGAGCAGTAAGGGAAGCGAGTGCCGGCTAACATCCCTGCCTACTTCCTTTGCAAGCGCGGCCAGGGACAAATCAGGGGGGAAAAGGGAGGAGAACGCCATCGCTTCTCGCCCTGAAACAAAGCAGAGGCGAGGAAGGAGTCTCTGGTGGAAAATCACCAAAAGTCCTGCTGCTTTTGATGACTCCAGCTTGGCAGCAGGACTCTTACCATCGCTGAGAGCACAGCTGGTAGCCACTTCTTACCATCACTGCCAAGCCGGATTCACCAAAAGCAGCACCAGCAGCAATGGAACATGCTCAGGGAAGGAAGAGCCGAAACTGACTGCCCAGGATTGTGTTTCAGCCACTGCCGCTGCTTCTGCTGCTGCTGCAGCCACCAGAGACACTTTCCTCGCCACTGCTTTGTTTTTAGGTCGAGAAGCAATACTTCTGAGGTGCTGTCCCGGATGGCACCTGAGGCTGCCTCGCCTCCTTCTGCCCCACAGAAAAAAGAGCAGATCCAGTCTCCACTCTCATTTTCCTCAGCCTACGCACTATTCTGGTGGTGAGGGAAAGTGACCCTCGGCTGCCCCTCCAGGAGGACCACCATGCATCCTCCACAGGTGGGAGGTTGAAGGGGCAACCAAAGGTGAAGAGCGGTGAGGGGTTTTGGCAGTGCGAGAGAAAGACTTCAAAGTCAGTGGAGGTGGTATGTGGCTGGTATGCCTTGTTCCAACTTTCCCCAAGTGCAAAATGCTTTAAAAATAAAGTTTTAGGTTTTTGGGGGGGTGTAAATAGTTGGGGTGCAAGGGTCTTTTAACTTGACAGCTTTAAGACTTGCATACTTCAAATGCCAGAGTTTCTGAGCCAACATGACTGGGAAAAGAATTCTGGGAGTTGAAGTCCACAAGTCTTAAAGCTGTAAAAATTGTAAAATTTGAACACCCATGGGGCTTTTTTTTTGTAAAGGGTTAGGGAGCAGAGGTCCTGTAACTTGACAGCTTTAAGACTTGCACACTTCAAATGTCAGTTTCTGAGCCAACATTTTGGTTGCTAAGCAAGAGCATTGTTAATTGAGTTTCATCACATTTTACAAGTTGGCCATGCCCACCCAGTTGCACGATCACCAAGCCACTCCCAGCCAGTCACATGATGGCCAAGCCACACCCACAAAATACATGAGTGTGAGCCACACTCACAGAACAGGTAGTAAAAGTTTTGAAACCTACCCCTGCTCAGGAGTGTCCCTCAGGCAATAACGATGTCACCAGCTAATCCTTTCAACCCAGAAACACCTTAAATGGTGTCTCTGACTGGAATGGAACTTTGTCAAATTGTGTTAGGTTCCTGACTTTTTCCCCATTCTTATTAATTTAATATACCATGTAATACTTTGTTTTTTACTCATCTGTTATTTAACAGAGATAACTATTTTTGAGCTTTTTTATTTCAATACACACTCACACACATAAAAACGTAACATATTTGCTTTATTGGTGTAGATATTGATAAATTATCAAATATATTCCCATTATTAACTTGTGCAAATTTGGCTTTTTATTACTTTGGTGTAGTTACTATTGCATATTGTCTGGCTAATTGCTTAATTGCCTGGATTGGTTTGGTTTGGTAACATAAAATAAGTGAGATTTATAAGTACATGCTGATCAGATTCTACTGGTATTACTATATACAGTATATATATATAGTATTTTGTAAAATAAATATATAGACAATTATTTTAGCAGTTGAAGCAAGGCATATATGCTTATGGTTGTAAATATTCATAATAAAAAGTGTGAAGAAAAACTAATAAATGTCCATTCCTTTTCTCCTTTCTCATTTTCCAATCTTTAAGCCCTTCATTTCGTTGAAGGAATTGGAGCAGTTTAACTTTGACATACAAAAATTGCTTGAACCACTGGAGGCTGAAATTCAGGAGGGGGTGAATCTGAAAGAAGAAGATTTCAATAAAGATATGGTAAATTGGTTGTGATAGAAATATGAATGAACTAGGAATGGAAAAGGAAAAAACATTGGAGCAAAAATTAGGAACTTCTGCATTTGCATTTAACACCAGACAGTTCACAAACTTTAGCGTTCTTAAATATTATAAAATAGTATATGACATTTATACATGGAACAATTATATTTTAGCAACAATTTCAATGTTACAGTAACAAGAACATACGGTTGTTCTTTATAATTATCAGGAAAGAGATTTAGATTAGTGAAATATCCTATTTGACATTTTAGAAAATACACCCACATCACACCCACACTCACACCTACCCCTACATATATACAATGATATATACATCTCTCAAATCCCTACAACAGTTGTCCATGTAGTAGTAACTCAGGATTGCTTGCTGTTAGTAAAAATATACTAAGGGGTCCATAATATGGCAAACCAGTGTGCACCTCAGTCATTCAAAGGATACATATAGGTATGGGTATACATATAGACATATAAGTATATAAATATACATATGGACTTTATTTTGTTACATATGATTTAACACAGTTATACATACAGTTTGCTCCGCCGATCTTTGCTTGCAGGATGAGTACAAGTATAAAATTTTCCTTCATGATAATTCCTCTGTTTAATTTGACCTAATAAAAACACCAGTCAGGAGAAGACTATGCATATTAATTGACTGAGGAGAAAATACTTCATTTACCCATGTTATGAACTCCTTTTGCTGGCAGAATATATTCTATTTTGTGCAGCATAAGTTGTTATTTATAGATTTATTATGCAGGTATTATGAAACTTTCTATTTCTAGTATTCTTCAGTTTAAACAACAGCATCCTGAAAGCCAAGCTCAGTGTGCCAGCATATTTTTTGCAGAGCTACCCTTTCAAAGTACCAACCTGCAAAATAGATTTGCATGAGTGGCAATATAGATGCCTAAAACTTTTTCAGATAATTTAGGCACATTTTATAACTTTTCATGTCTCTTGCAATAGCATTGGAATTTGTATTATAAATGTTAAAAGCCTTGGAGATCTGCACATTACAAAAATTTATATATTAGATCTTAAGCTATAGTCTAATTGTATTTATAGTATGTTGATAATATTAAGTAATTTTGTTAAATTATTATTTTGTCATTATACCATTATTTTCAAGATCCAGAAACAGTCTGAGATTGACCAACCCTCAATTACATACTGTATATTTGGGAGCATAAGATGAACCGGAGTATAAGACTCACCAAGGTTTTGAAGAGGAAAATTTAAAACAAGTCTTTGCACTCTGCAAACCTCCCAAAAATGGCTCGTTTTTCACAAAAATGGGCCCATTCCCCCCCCAAAAGGCATGAACAGCCTTTAGGGATTTTGCAGCGTGCTCCTGGGGGGGGGGGGCAAAATGTAGCAAAGAATGGCCTGTTTTTCACAAAAATGGGCCCATTTTTCATGAAACAAAGGGCATAGAGGAAGCTTATAGAGTGCTGCTGGTAGCTGGGGGTGGGTGAAAATTGAGCAAATATCAGGCCCCCATGAGCTCTCTAAAAGTTTCCTAGGGGCTCTGCACAGTCATTTTTGTGAAGGGGCGGGGTTTTGGGAGGCAAAAAATGCTGTATTCAGTGTATAAGACGTACCCAGATTTTCACCCTCTTTTTTGAGGGAAAAAGGTGCATCTTATACTCTGAAAAATACGGTAAATGTCATTACCATTTTTTTATCTGTCTGTCTCTATCTCTACCTCTTTCATCTCTATTTCTAATATCTATATCTTTCTATCCTTAGAATGACAATCATGAGAGCACTATAAAAGAACTGCTTCAGCGTGGAGATATGCTTAACCAAATGATCAAGGATGAACAAAAAAGAGAAGAAATAAAAAAGAAACAACATTTGTTGCAAAACAGACATAATTCTCTCAAGGTAGATTTTACAACCTTTCCTGCTCTGGATGAAGTTCTAAATGTTGCATATGTAGTAAGTCAGAAGTTATGAAGACCCTAAAATTTTATATTTAATTATGTTTCTTAAGAGTGGGTACACAAGACAGTAAGTAGGACAGCAAATTGGTATTTCCCTTTTATTTCTGCCTTTCATTTTTATGTTTATGTCTTCAAATATACTCTAGAAAAAGGGCAGAGAAGAGACTAGGATGATTAGGAGACTGGAGACTAAAACATATGAAGAACAATTACAGGAATTGGGCATGGCTACAGTGGTGGGATTCAAATAATTTAACAACTGGTTCTCTGCCCTAATGACCAGCTGTGTAGGCATGGTTGGGTGGTCATATGACTAGGTGGGTGTGACCAACTCAACACCACTCACATCGAGGGGCACTTCACCTTGCCTTTCATGACCGTGGGGATGCTGCAACTGTCGTAAGTGTGAAAAATGGCCATAGGTCACTTTTTTCAGTGCCATTGTAATTTTGAATGATCACTAAATGAACTGTTGTAAGTCAAGTATTACCTGTACAAAAATATAAAAAAGCTTCTTTGCTTGGAAAAAGCTGCCCTAAATACCAATCATTAGATTAGAAATGGGGGAATACACACTGTAGATCAATGATAGTCACAGCCATCATGGAAACCTAAACCATTCTGTCTGAATATCTTCCTTCTCATCAGCAATATCTGCACCTCAGAGTTACAAATCAGGCAGGGGGCCAGACACTTTGAGGAATTAAAATAGTTAAAATGCATTGATAATTATCAACAGCCACCTCTTGCTCATAAAATGAAACCCTTTAGCAGAGAGGTCATTTAAGCTCTCCAGAAAGTGGGTGGGCACACTTGGGCTACAAAATGCTGAGCTAAAGAGACAAATTGACAAAGTATATAGGGGACCCAGGTTCAAGCCTCCCAAGCTTGTCAGGATCACAATAAAATTATTACATGCCACAGATATCTAAATAAACTTCAAGCCTAGTGCCATGTTACTAAATCTTATTATCATGAGAGAAAATTAAAATGAATTGGAGGGAGGTGTAAGGACCTGCACCCCCCCCCTCAAAAAAGTATAGACGCTTGAAAAACTGGTATTTCAAAAGGAATCTTTTTATTTGAAATGCAAATCAACATTCAAAGCAGGCTCTGGGACCCTCAGGCTATACAAGCCGTGATAAAGGGACTTAGGAACTCCTCCCAATGTGGATTCCCACCAATCCGCAGGTGTGAAGTTTTTTATGTACTGGCCTCTCTGAGAATCAGATAAGCAGGGATTCTCAGGATCATCTTCTGGAGTTTCAAACTATATAGCTCCCTTCCCCCCTTGCATCTTCCAAGAGGTAACCCTCTAAGGTGCCAGGCAATGGTTATAAATTGGGCAAAAGGTTATATAAACAGGCAAGGTAAGACATAGAAAGAACAAAATGCATCAAATCCACCCCCCCTTTTGTCCATCGAAGAATGGCAGATACATGGATCTGTCATATTTCCCTCCTCAGAAAAATGAAAAGTCCACCTGGAAAGACATAAAACATATAATACATTATGATTTAGGATGGTTTTTGAGAGTATTTTGGGTGGAATTTCCTTAACAGTGTGGGAGCTTTTACATGTTTTTGGCTACCCACTCATTCTGAGAGGGTGGTAGGTGTTTCCATGCCACTAAATATTGTGTGGAGTTGTGGTGAGTCCAGGAGTCCAGGATGTCATTAATTTCAAAATGTTGTTCTCCTTCCACCATAATGGGGGTTGGGGGTATGGGCAAAGGGGGTCTGATCTTTGAAGTGATTTCTGGCTTAGTAGCCTGCAGTGAAACACTGGACGAACCTGCCTAAGTGTCTTAGGAAGGAGGAGTTCTACTGTGAAGGGGTTAATAATTCTGGTGATGGGGAATGGGCCAATAAATTTTGGTCCCAATTTCTTAGATGGTTGTAAGGATTGTAAAAACTTTGTTGGTAGATATATGCAGGTCCACCACTTTGAATGGTTTGGGTTCACAGCGCTTCTTGTCAGCTTGAACTTTAAAAGCTGCTCTAGATTCTTGTAGAGCTAGTCTGACCACTGTCCAAGTGGATTGTAGATTGTTTATCCACTCCTTAAGGGAGGGGATGTCAGGTTCCTTAGCTGTTAGTTTTGGCATGGGATTGAATTCTTGTCCTGTGGCAACCTGAAATGGGGTGAAATTAGTGCTGCTCTGTACAGAGTTGTTGGAAGCTATTTCAGCAAAAGGTAACAGGTCAGTCCAGTTGTCATGTTGGTAGTTAATAAAACATCTTAAATATTATTCTACCCCATTGGCCTCTTCAACACCACCACTTGTCTGGGGATGATGCAAAGAGGACAGTCCCTGGGCAAAGCATAACAGGTTTAAGAAAGCCCACCAAAATTTGGAGGTGAATTGGACACCTCTGTCTGAGATAATCCTTTGGGGAGCTCCATGGAGGCAATAAATGTGGACTAAAAAAATTATTGCTAGTGCCTTGGCTGTTTGGATCTTCTGGCAGGGTATGAAATGGACCTGTTTTGAAAAGAGCTTCATTACAACCCAAATAACTGTTTCCCGTGCTTTCAGGCAGCTCCACTATAAAAATCCATAGAAATCTCTCTCCAGGGTGCTGAAGGTTCTGCTACAGTGTGTAAAAGTCCTGGGGATTTTCCCAGTCAATTTTTTGCAGCTGTGCAGGTGGGGCAGCTAGCAACATGACTCTCAATGTCTTTTTTAAACGGATGGCCACCAGAATTGTTTTTTGATTAGGTGCAGAGTTTTCACAAATCCAAAATATCCAGCTATCCTGGAGTCATGGCATCACTTCATGAGATCCAATCTTTGGCTAGCAGGGACGTAAAGTTTGTTTTCTACCCAGGCTAAGTCATCTTTGAGAAAACAAATGTTTTTGTGCACATGGAACCAGTCATTCATAAGAAGAGCCTACTTAAATTTGGAGACCGTTGCATTGTCAGCAAGCAGTTCTTTTTTGGCTTGTGCTTACATAATTACTTTGGCAGCTAGCTGGAGTGTTTGGAGCATAGGTCAGCCTTTTTGCTGTTGTATTGGGGTTTCTGGACAGGGCACCAGCTAAGAAGTTTCACTCTCCTGAGAGATATTTGAGGGTGAAATTAAACCATTTAAAGTATTGTGCCCAACATATTTGTTTGGGGGAGAGTTCCAGAGGTGATGTCATCATGGAGCAATGTGAGGGAACGGGGCTCCGGTCCCAAAGCCCGAATTTTCTTGGCAGAAAGCCTCTAAAAGGCACAGTCAATATTGGAGGGATTGACAGAAGAAAGGGGAAGTTCCAAAGACCTCAGGGTGAAAGGTGATCTCCCTGAAGGGCTAGGAGAAACTCCTTAACTCTGGCAGGAAACAAATTGGCCATTTCAGCTGGTTCAAAATGGTGACAGACACAGAGCAGGAAGAAAAAATTGGAAACAACAATTCGATATTAGTGTGAGAAAGAATCCCAAAGTCAGATTAATGATTGGTGGAGCTGTGATATTGAGACTTCAAAGCGAGAGGTAGGATTTCTGATGGAACAATGGCAACTAAGAGAGTGAAGGAGCAAGTGACAGCCATGTTTACACAGTGACAGCACAAGAAGACAAGAAGTGAAAAAGGAAGAAACTCTAGACAGAGATACCCTGAGGCTGATCAGAAGGGGAATTCTACTGGATGGATGACTATAAACTCTGTTTTTTGACAATATTATAGGCTTTTGTAGAGGAAGTGCTGAAAAGTTAATGATGGGAATAGACTGTGCATATTGAATAGAGAAATGTTGCATATATATATTTCAGAACAGACTAAAAGGGGAATACAATGGGGCTGAGGGCAAAAAATTCTTTAAGTGGATAACACTATAATTTTCATAAGGTGATGGACTTGAAAGACTTCAAGAACTGTTGAAGGTGGAACTTTAATAATAAGGAAAGAACAAGAGCACCATCTGGAGGCTATAGAATGGACAGATCTAAATAAGTAGCATGCATAAAGAAATGATGGAGGACTGAGGTGCTATTGAATTGACTTAGATAGAAGTGACTTAAGAAGATTACGGGAAAAAGAGAAATCTTACTAAATGATCTTGGAAGATAATAAAAGTAAAAGGAGGAGACAAAAATACATTGATAAATATATAAACACAATAAGATAAGAAATAGAATTAATTGTAAAGACGAACCAACCACTTAGTAGTGATAGAATTTTGAGAACTTGAAATTAAGATATCTATAATGTGTGTGTGTGTGTGTGTGTGTGTGTTTTTGTGTGTGTGTGTGTGTGTGTATGTATGTGCTGGTCTTGTTGTATTCGGGTCTTTTCCGATATAAGATTGAGATTGTCTTGGCAACGTTTTGGCGAGGTCCCACTCGCTATCTTCAGGCTGGTGTTTTCGGCTTTGTGCTTGTGTGAGTAAAGCGTGGCTGCCATCTCTCCATAAATCTTGGTGTGTGTGTGGAGTGCTGGCTTTGTTGCTGTAAGTGGGTTGATTGGCTGTGTAGTTGCATCTTGATTGGTAGATGGAGTTGATGTTTGTAGATTGGTCGGCTGTTTCGTATCATCCTGTGTGGCTGAGGTGCTGACTGTGTGTCCATTGTTCTTTTGTGTTGTAACAACCTGGTGGTGGGTGTGGTTTGTTTGTTGACGAGAGCTGGTTTCCAGATGTCTGGTAGGCGGGAGGTATTAATAAACATGACGATATCGGCTCTGAAGGATGTGGATTGACTATATACAAAATAAATATGGGACCGAGAAATTCTTTAGT